TCCAGAGACTTCCAATCAAGATGGATGCGTAGGAATATAAAAGCCCCTTCTCTTTCTGCTCCAAAAACTTTAGAACAGAAAAACTATTAAAAATAAATATCCTTTCTAGGCCAATCATATAATATAGATAGAAGTACAATGTACTGGGAGTAACCAAACAATTCATATTTCCCAATTTCAAAAGTTATTACAAATCTAAGTAATAAGATACAGCACTCCTGGCATAAGGCTAGACATACAGATCAATGAAACAAAGATGAGAGTCCAGAAATACACTTTTACATTTATGGGCTAATAATTATGAACTGATTTTTCATCAAACCTCATTTAGATAATACTTTCTTAAATATGACATTAAAAGCAACCAAAATAGAACTGAACTATAACAAAACTAAAAATTAAAAAAATTTTGGTGCTACAAATCAGATTATTAAGAAAGTGAAAGGATTTCTCCATTTGCACTTTTGACATTAACAAAGAAATCAGCAAGATACTGGTAGCAGCTGCTCCTTCAGACCAAAACACCTAAACCTAATGTTAAACCTGGAATATCAAAACCACACTGAACCACAGACTGACTTGTTGAATTCCTAAGGAACTAGAAAAGGGACAATCTTTGTAAGACAGCCTGGTCCCTCAGTCAGCTTTCCAGATCTTTTCCCATAATTCGGCTTTCACTGGAAGTTTTTTGGTAAGAGAAGGAGGGCATTGAACAACCTTAATCAGAAGTAATAGGCTCAAAAGCTCCCCACTGCAGCTATTAATGTCCTTTAAACCTCCAAGAGGTTTAAATACTTGCAAATCATGTATTGATASGGACTAGTACTCAGAATATAAAATATTCTAATGCCAATAAAGAGAAAACAAAAGTCAAACATTTATTTCATTTAAAGCTTTGAACTTCCTTGTGTCTTTGAAATTATGCAGGCATATGATATGAGAAGTAAGATACGTCATGCCCATGTAGAAGCCTTTACTAGCCAGTGATTAATTTGCTCTCTCTTTCCTCCAGGCTCAGTAATGCTGGAGACTCCCGGAATGAGGACAACATGGGAAGAATCCTTACCCAATACATGATAGGCAGTATGATTGAGAAATAGAACGATGCTATTTGAAGTCACCAAAATTTTAGAACTGATAATACTGCCTTACAACCTAGCATATTCTGATTGTAATGGGATGAAACTTGGAGAACTATGGGAGAAGGTGAGCCCATTTTGCATGTGAGAGAAACATGAAYCACTAAGAGCCAGAGGACATGTGGTAGATGAATCCCAAAGATTCTCATCTCTTGGCATTCACATGCTTGCATAATACAAGTCTCTCCCTAAATGTGGGCTGAACCTGGTGGCTTGATTCTGATAAAAAGAATGCGCAAAAGTGATGGAATGTTAATCATGAGATTTGATTACTTAAAAAAATAAAAATGTGGCATCTTTCTTGTTCACCCTGTCTCTCTCATTCACTCGGAGCCTTGGTCCAGGGAAAGTCAGCTGCCATGTGCTCAGCAGCACTACAGAGAGGCCTACAAGGCAAAGTATTAATTTCTATGGCTTATATCAGGTCTTAAAACTACTCTAATTCTGGCTGATACCTTGATTGCAGTCTTATGAGAGATCCTGACCCAGAGATACCCAGCTAAGTTACCTCCACCTGTGACCCAGAGAAATATATGAGATAATACAAGTTTACTGTTAAGAAAGAAAGGAGGGCTGGGGTTGTGGCTCAGTAGTAGAGCACTTGTCTAGCATGTGTGAAGTACTGGGTTTGATTCTCAGTACCGCATACAAATAAAAAAAGAAAGAGAGGAAAGAAGGGAGGAAGGGAAAGAAAATGAAAAGACAACCCAAAGGATGGAAGAAAATACTTGCAAATCATGTATTGATAGGGACTAGTACTCAGAATATAAAAAGAACTCTTAGAACTCAATAAAAAGAACCCAGTTGAAAAATGGTCAAAAGATTTGAACAGACATTTCTCCAAAGATATACAAATGGCCAACAGTACACAGAGATGCTTAACATTATTACCCACTGGGGAAATGTAAATCAAAATTACACTGAGACACTGCTTCACATCCTTTGGAAGGCTAAATCAAAAAACATATACAATGGGGCTGGGGATGTGGCTCAAGCGGTAGCGCGCTTGCCTAGTGTGCGTGCGGCCCGGGTTCGATCCTCAGCACCACATACAAAAAACGAAGATGTTGTGTCCGCTGAGAACTAAGAAAAATAAATAAATGTTAAAAATTCTCTCTCTCTCTCTGTCCCTCCCTCTCTCTCTCACTCTCTTTAAAAAAAAAAAAAAAAAAAACATATACAAGTGTTAATGAGAATGTGGAGAAACTGACACCCTCATATATTGTTAGTGAAAATGTTAAATGACAATCACTTTAGAAAAGAGTTTGGTAAATACACAGTCACCTTACAATAAAGCAATTCTAATTCTAGGTACATGTTCAACAAAATGAAAATATACATTTACCCAAAAACTTAGAAAGAAATGTTCATATAGCAGTAATATTTGGAATAGACATAAAGTAGAAWCAACCCACAGATAAAATCCACAGTGAAGATCAGAGACTAAAGACAAAGGCACTAGGGATAACAAGACCATAAGCAGAGGTAAAAGCCAGGAATTCACCTTCTTGGAGTAATATGGAAAGGGACAATAGCCAAGCACTCTGAGGGCTACAACTAGCCACCTGCCCATCAACCAAGTGCTGGTAGAAATGCACATAGGAAAAAAATAATTGCCCATAACAGAGGTTAAGTAGCAGAGAAACCTACACAATGAGAATTAGGCCCTGAGCATATCTGGGGACTGGAATGCAATTTCTTCAAAATTCCCCTACCTTGTGATTATAAGATTTGATTCTGAAATGTGGATGCCAGATGCCAGGCAAAATTGCCCTATGAGTAAAAGCAATTACACAGGAAAAAATAAAAATTGAATTATTTCTTTCAAAACAAGTTTGCCAACAAATACAAAATGGGCTACAAAGTATAWAMGGAAACACAAAGCATTAAAAATACTAACAAGGGACATATAATCAAATATAAAAATTCCTTGTAGAAAAATTAGAAAAAAACAAAGTAACTCCCAGAGATAGTTCCTGGTAGGACATTTTGCACAGACATTTTAACAAAAATGTGATCATACACTATWTATATGTTAAGAACCAACTTTTATATGCCCTGAATATCCTATCAATAGATATAACAATATTTTATTATTCTATTCTATTGTTTTAATATACCAAAACTATAACTGATTCTCTATTGTCAAAAATTTTAACAGGGAATCACAGTGAATTTTGTTCATTAAAAACAACATTGTGATTATGTTTTTAGAAGTCTTCATGAATTAGAAATTCATATGGAATTACTCTATAAGCCAACTAGTATAATCTTGGAATTGGTTTTAAATTACTCCAGGAGGATAAGGGTRGGGAAATTACATGGGTAAACAAAGATTGGTAAAATGTTAGTAATTGTTGAAAGCAGATGATAGGTACATGAGGTTTGTTATTTTCTCTGTATTTGCTGTTTGAAAGTTTCACATTAAAAAAAAAAAAAAAAGACAATATCCTTTAACTGAACCATAACCAAAAATGGTATATTAGGTTCACCACTGTAAGGTAATTAAGCACTTCCATTTTCATAGTTTCTATCTAATTATAGTATTTGTATCTTATGCAGCCTCCTAGGAATAAGTCATAAGATACAGTTAATTCCACTAATGTACAACAGCTGATAACAAAGATGTTCAGGATGACTGAAAAGTCTGAAATTAAAAACGTATTTGGCATAATCACAACCATTTTTCTCATCTAAGAACAGTGTATGTTATAAACRAAACTGAGTTGAATATTTAATTTGTAATGAGCAGTGAAAAATATCTCAGGTTTCTCAGGGTCTTGATTTGAAATGCATTTTATTTTAGAATTCCCTTCCATAAAATCCCAAATATTGGTCAAGAAGAAAGTCTAGGCTGGTAGTGTAGCTTAGTGGAAGAGAACTTGCCTAGCTTGCACAAGATCCTGTGTTCAACCCCAGTCCCATTAAAAAAAAAAAAAAATACCAGGGGCTGGGGTTGTGGCAGCAGTAGAGCACTTGCCTAGCATGTGTGAAGGCCCTGGGTTTGATCCACAGCACTACATATAAAAATAAATAAAATAAAGGTATTGCATCCAACTACAACTAAAATAAACATTTCTTTTTTTTAAATGCCAGGTGTTGTGGTGCACACCTATAATCCCAGTGACTTGAGAGACTGAGGCTGGAGGATCACAAATTCAAGACTAGCCTCAGCAACTTAGTGAGACCATGTCTCAAAATAAAAAATAAAAGGACTGTGAATTTGACTTAGTGGTAAAGCACCCCTGGGTTAAATCCCCACTAC